TATCCCCAATATGTGTATAATGCATATGTTGCATATTAATGACTGAAGAAAGCAATGTTTTCATTTCAATTAAAAAGACCTAAACATATATCGTAGGTCTATGGGCTAGCTGAAATATAAAGGAGCAAGAAGCAACAAAAACAGGGGTGGGGGGAGGGGGGAATTTGACTAAAACTCATGATATTTCACAAGAAAACTTTATGAAAAAAGGTATATACATTTAATGAACATACTTTTGCTTTGAATAATCTCCAGGGAAAGGACTTCGGCAAATGTAAAATTGTAAATAAAATAAAACATAGCATTATTACATGTACCTGCAACTGCTACGTTGGGCGAACACCGATTCCTGAAATATAAGCCCTGAAATATTGTACGGTTGAAGGGAAATTCCATTTCAGCTGTATACGTCTGTCATATGGCTCCAAAGAAGACTGTAGTTAGGGTTATACAAAAGAAAAATATTGAAATAGATACAATCAGTAAAAACATGTAAAATAATTAAAATTCAAAGGAATTTAATTAAGCATGCTTAGTCTACAATACATTTACAAGTTTCAAGATTCTGGTTTTATTTTCCATAATACATTTGTAATACAGAAATTTGTCTCCCATTGATGTTACATACAATTTAACATAGGCACAAACATGATTTTGTATGCTGAGAGCCAAAGGGGTTAACTTAATGTTGAACAAGAATGAGTGAACACCATTCCATCTTTCAGCAGACAGTACAAAAAAAAACTTCATTCTGAGTCACATCATAAATGCATTCATACATAAATAGGAAACTGATGTAAATGACAATACCGCAACCTCTTCCGATCATAAAGAGAAAGACATAATAGGAGCAAATTGAAAAAAAGAGGGATGAGTGGTAGACAGAGAGAGAGAGAGAGAAGGAAGGTAAAAATCTAATCAGGAGCTGCAAAGACGTGTAGATAATCATACTCTACTCTTAAGGACCGCTAGATGAACCTCCATAGTAATATACTATACAAAAAAAAACTGCAGATCACAGCTATCCAGTATACAGTGTAGGGTAGGCCCCGATGGTACATTTATAATTACTCTCAACATGAACTTCACCAGAATCTTGGACCTGATTTTTTTACATGTAAGTTTAAAAGAATAAATAAGAAGCACAAATTATTTGCATCAGAAATTCCTTGGAGCACTCTCTTTTGGTTCTAGTACTATGTATTTCAACTAATATATATTCATGACATTTCAGAGATTGCTAATGAAATAGCAATTTGAAATGTATCAGTGATGATTATCGGTGATGCCATGCATCATGCTTTCTTTGTAACATCTAAAATATGACACATATACATGTAGCAAAACAAATCCTAACTTGCAGATTAGATCCCCGTACGATTCATAAAGAGTACTCAGAAGATACTAAGACGGCACTACTGGCGAAATGGATGAATGAGTGCTGTTTAAGATGTTGCCAATCAACATCTTGTTGCACATTTTTTTGAGATGCCGTGTATAAACAAAAAGATTCATATCATGTTAGTGCCAGCTATGATTATCATTTGACATGGCAATTATATAATAATAAAGTTTTGCCAAACCTTGCTATGGACTGTCCACAAAATTGGTCTCAAAGTCACTATAAAGGTTGTTCTAATCCATCGCAGTCATTAACTTTGAACAGAAGAGGGGTGAGGAAAACAAATCATCCCCAACCCTCCTTAAAATACTAAAGCCAAGGGATGGCTCTACATATTAAATAATATATGAAACGCAAATGAAATCATGCTGGAGTTAAAGAATAACATTTTATATTGAGTGCTGTGCTTAAGCATAACAGTGACCACAAAAAAACGCGCACTCACCACACACACACAAATCCAATAACGTTTAAAAGAAAGGCCAATCATTATGTGTAGGAGATTGTATTTGCATAAGGAATATCCTTATCACATAGAGCAACAGAGTGGAAATGGGATCAAAATAGAGAAACATTTTATTTGAAGTAGAAAAATTATGCAAAGAATAACTTTGCACACAGAAATTATAAAAACAAGTTATGCTTTAGTTTGCTCTATTTGTATAAATATTGAAAGAAATTTCAAAGTATCATGGCCATGGGCAGATAACTGACCATAGTTAGTTACATCTTGGGTTATTAATGCTATTTGGTGGTTAGGATCCTCAGGGAGAAGGGATTTATAAATAAAATAATAATTATTATTTTAGCTTTTACCAAATCTATAGGACAGAATGGAAATTAAATGGACAAACTGCATCTTTCATTCAAGCGCATGACTGATCAGAAAATATGTGCATATGTACATGTAGGGCCATGCATGTCATTTTAAGAGCAAACATGGATGCTTGAAATTATACCATAGCTCATTCTGTCTTCAACATTAAGACACATACTAGGATATTTTCTTTACATTGTTTGTCACAAGATTAGTAAAAAAAAAAAGAAGCTGTCCAGTTTTTTGTTAGAGGAATATGTGACCGATATATAAAAAAAAGGGCGATAACAGAGTTGATAGAAAAGGGCCGATTAGGAAATACAAAAGGAATACACTTTTATAGTATAAACATATATGTACTTAAAAGGGAATTTTGGTACTTAAAAAAACAGCAAATTTGATTTCTAGACCATTCTAGATGCATTTGACTGAAATAAGTTGAGTTCCACAAATTACTTCATGAAATTAACTTCATGAAAGCAGAAATGGATCCATCACCACTTTCAAAACATCACAGCTCTCTGTACTACTGTTAAATTTTAAACAGGCTTTTCTTCCACATGTTCAGGGTGGTCCACAAACAAATATTCAAACAAGTAAAATTAGAATGTGGAATAAGTATGATTTGATGCAAATGACAAAGTCTCTTGTGGCTGGGCTCAAGGGCTTGTTTAAGGGTTCGCAGGTTCCTAGATGTATTGTAGTACAATATGTGCCATCTAATGAACCATTTCCATGACTACTATTTCGAAAATGATTTTTTGGTTGAGAAGTACTATTAACCTACCGGTAGCGATGATTTTCAAACCTGTACAATCACATTTCGAAACTGTTGCTGTTACATAGTATAACCCTTATAAGTATGTGAGAGTTATTGGCAAAATGGTATTAAAGGAAGGTATTTTGGAGAGACTTTGTTCAGTTCTGCATTCCAACTAATTGAATAACAATTAAATCTCTCATATCTAGCTGCAGATTCTACAATGTTCATGTAGCTGCACAAATCTAGAGTCAATATGTAGTGACTGACAATCAAAATGAAGCTGAACACTTCCAAATGTAAAGTTATGCGCATTACCGAATAAAAAATCCCAGGTCAACCCCATTACCATATTAATGATTATATATTTTAAGTTGCTACGCGATATAAATACCTTGGCATTGTTTTGAATAATAAAATGACCTGGTGAAATCATGTTGATTATGTTGTATCAAAGGCTAATGGAATGTTAAGTTTCATCATCAGTGTAGCAAACAATCTGTCAAGTGACTCTCTGCTGTGTTTGTACAAATGCCTCGTTCTCCATAAGCATTATTGAATATGGCCAACGTGCCTGGTTCATACACAGTAGAGAAAATGTTGAAAAAATGAATAGATACAAAGATGAGCTAGACGAATTATTCTCAAACATAGAAAACAGGAAATGGAGTATTCTGTACACCTCCAAACTTTTAAAGTGGTACACGCTTTTTTCCAGGCGACATTATCTTATGACTAGCTTTGTTCTCAAAGTCTTTGTTGGCCTTATAAAATGTGAAGCTGTCCAAAATGCTATCTGCATAACCAAAGATATTCTGACACTGTTTGATTCAAACATTTGACAGCTTGCACTCAAAGACTCCATGGCTCTGCCATCCACACATTTCCCAGTGTCTAGTATACTCTCAATACTGATTTGAAGACTGTTGTTGTGTTATTATTTCTTACTTGACTTTAAAACTAAAAGAACAAATTCTCAGTATACAGATGAGTTAACATAAATTAGTTAATTATGATGAGCTGTCTCTGTCTCAATTTTGTTTGTTTGCTGTTTTTGTTATCATACCCAGCTGCACAGTGCCATCTTCAGGTAAAATTCCAGGTTAAGAGTCGGATTTGAGTGCATGTATTCACCCTCCCCCCCCCCCCCATTTTTCCATGGTGCTATATAATGTACATGTACATGTACACAAAGCGACATTTTCCCTCTTTTTTGTTCAGAGGGGGGGGGGGGGGGGGGGGGTAAGTTTATTTACAGGAATAATTTTCCTCAAATTTTTGATTAGCAATTTCAGGCGATGGATAAATATTTCAAATGAAATTCTGTACATTTCTATGGAAGAAAACTGCAAAAGATATTTTGTATAGCAGTCATGCAAAAATGCATAGCAAATTGCGATGCGATACCAGGAAAATTATGATTATATTTTTAATAAATTTTTATCTTATCAATGATTATTGTTGATTAATAGTGATTTATAAATTGTTATGTATACCTCACAATTTTATTGTTACCATTTCTGTAAAGTCACATGGATTGGAAAAGAAGACCTCTGGGACATAGTTATTAAGTTAATCTTTTTCTTTTCCCAGCATCCATGTGGCTCTTTTCCAAATGTACTCTTTTGGTATTCAATGATTTTCTTTGTTTTTTCCGAATAAAAAATATTAACAAATTTACAGAAACACTTGATTCTAATCTAAAAATCAATGTTTTGAAACAAACTTTTAAATTTGATGATTTCTTTCTTTGGTGCAAGCAGTTAAAATAACATGGCCCCTATTCTACTACAATTATAACATAATGCTGAATTTGATGTACATGTAGTCTGAAGTCTAAGATATCCTTTTGTTTTATATAAAGAGAAAATACAAACCCATTGATTTATTTAGACTATCTTTTGATTTGATGGTACAATTAGTTTGAATTTAGAAAAAAAAAGATGTCTAGAGTCAGTTTTACACGTTAAACAACGAGTGGTTGACGCCCCCCCCCCCCTCCCCCAGGGTAAATAAATTTAAAAAGCAAAAAGAGAGGAGAATAGGAGGAACAAGAGGGCTGATGACCTTATTAACATTAATTTAAAAAAACAAAAAACAGAAGCCCTACCCTTCCTGAAAATTGATAAAAATAGTATTTAGGTACATATACATGTATGTACCTTACTTCTCTGGAGCAAATTCTGTAAACAAAATAATTAAATGCTACAGTGTCCTAAAGCTTTGGGTACAAGTATGCAGTTTAACTCCATACATATGCACATGTTCACACAACCATTAAGGTAGATTCTCACTGGAACTCTTAACAATGTAGCTTTTGAATAATATTATTCATGTTTTGACATTTCAAAGGGAAAGTAAATCAGATGCCCTGACTGGGCTGGGTTGCACCTCCCTAACTGCCTAGGTCTAAGTTTACATTGTCCAAAATATATGATGTTCTCATGGTTAATTTCGTAGAGCCATGTCTACATGTTTGTTTCTTTGGCTTGGTGTACAAATGTCAGAAGTAAAAATACAAGTAAAAATGTCAAATAAGGCAAAATGTTCAGTTTTATTTGCTGTGAAAGATCAAACTCTGAAATTGACAAAAATTCATGATCATGAGCAACATATCAGAAACATAGTTTTACTGTACAAATTCATAGAATCATGAGACTGCTTGTATACGATATTGTTTGAAGGATATTCCAATATTTGGTGCAGGATTGATAAAATGTGTGCTGGCATACACTGTATTCCAGCAAGTATATATTTGTACAAGTCTACACATTAAAAAAAATGCACCATAAATTTGGCAGAAAACAACGAGTGGAATTTGAAGGACTTGAACTGTATTTCTCTCACGTTTCTTAATCACAAACATGATGTTATTATATACAGTTACACTGTGTTATGTTTAAACCAACAAATAGAATAACTTCTGCCATAAAAGGCGAAAGCACATTACAAAATACCTGGCTAAATATGTCTCAACGTTTACTACATGTACATGTAGGCCTACTATCTGACATTCTTCAAGCAAAGCTCTGACATTGTTTGTTAAAATTTTGTAATAAAGTATTGATGAGGGGGGAAGCATATGTGTGTCTTTTTCTTGATGTTTTCTTATACAGTAGGCTTGTTGGTGCACCGTGTTCTTGTCATAATAAGAGGCTCTGCTCAGTCTGCTGGGATCAACATGAAGATGGGTCTGATGTCTGAATTTGTGGAATTTCTTTGCAATCTTTATAAATGATTCCCTGTTTTATCTCATTCAATCTTAATATTCTATGTAATTACTTCCTCAAAACCAAATAAACATTAAAACATCAACCTACTTTAATAGAAAATCGAAAAAAAGGTTAGAAATTCATATACAATGTACATATGCAAACCTGATCACAAAATATAAGTTTCGAATTTCCACATAGTATTATCCTTAGGACATACTTGTACAAAGTACAATACACCACAGTCATTTAGAAAATATACATTATGATATGGAAGAAGGAGATATAATGGACTGGCCCGGTAGCTTGAATCTGGACATTTTGTGTGATACAGTGCTTAGATATTATGACAGCACTAATTTCCCCTCCCCCTACATTTTGTTGCTGTACCTCTTACTTGTTTAGTTATTACCTCTGACTTTTTAAATCTGAAATTTTACCTCTGACATTTTTACCTGGCACCGTCTCTCCATACATGAAATTATAGTCATCCATTGTCTGAGATTTTTTCATGGGTGGGGAGGGGGGAGGGGGGGGGGGGGGTAATTGTCCACTGGGGTCATTTTCCGGGGGGTGGGGGAGGGGGGTTGTCAAAGGGGTTAATTGTCCTGATATGGCTTGTAGGGTATCACAGCGGTGCAAATGTATGAGGTAATTCAGGGTTATCTTATGGATAACCTTGCACTTGTGTCAGAACCCATGTATGAAGTTACACATGTAGGACATGCACTGGAGCTGACAATAACCATAACCCAGAACCATACATACACATGTAATTGAAATGAGCCATGACAACGAGACTAGATATGACTGAGGCTGCAAGTTCCATCTGACCAAGGGCCCATAATAAGTTTCTGGTATGGGTTCCAGGGGCGGATCTAGCTTTTTGCCAAGGGGGGGGGGGGGGGGGGGGGGTGATGCAGAGCCATTGTCCACGAGCCATAGAGCGGCAAGGCGATTTTGTTTTTGCTATTTTTAAGTTTTCCTGGCATCTACTAACATCTACTAATACTGTGTGGGTCTGGACACATGATGGCGTTATTCTATGCACATCACATTTTCACCTGGGAGCCCAAGGAGGGGGGGGGGGGGGGGGGAGTAACCCCCTAACCTAACCCCCCCCCTGTAGATCCGCCCTTGGGTTCCCGTGTGGTCATAACTCCAGTGGTTTAAAATCGGAGCGGTATCATTGTATTATACAAGTGTGGAAGAACATTAGATTACAAAATGTTTCCGGAAAAGCATGGCTCTTCAAATGCCTCAATTTTCTAAATATGGCATGTAACATCATAACAATCGGGACAGAATGTTATGCCACATGTTGGTGTAGTCCCATACACATCTTTTTGTGTACAGTAATTGTATATTCCACGTTTCTTTCACAATGCAAATCACATAACAAGAACTCAGCTTTATTTTTAACTGACAATTTATACTTTGTTCACACTTCTCTTTTATTTTCTACAATATTTACTTGAAAATTTTGAAGGATATTACAAGAGCGAAAAGATTTTGGCATTTGTATTGGTCTAAACGCTGCTCTCTTGGACCCTCCAGATCCTAAAGGTGTGTTGCAGTCTTTATATAGTAAGTGTTTGTTTTGGGGGGCACTTTTGGAAATTTTCCGGGGAGGACGACCCCCCTAAACGAATTGCCACGCCCCCCTTCCCCCCCCCCCCCCCGGCCCTGTGTAAAATCTAGATCAGGATTTTCAACCTCTTTCGGGTCACAACAACATTTTACGAAACAATGTTTTTGTGTAGGCCCTAACCCTAATCTCATCACGCAGGCACTGGAGCTGGAGGAGGGGAGTTGGCTCAGCTCAGTCGGTCAATTCTCTGCCTGTCAAACAAAAAAGTATGTGTCGGATTGTGGTAAAAGTCAGCCATTATCCCCCTGTTGTGTGTTGCGACAAACAGTACCGTCTGTGTACGGAAACGTACCGGTAGACAGAATTCAGTTTTATCAGGGATATGAGATACCCTGGTTTTATTAAAGAATTCATCCCCATACCAGATGGCTTTGTTATTGTCTGGTCCTAGCGGATGCCACCACCTCCGGGGCCCCTTTCTCAGCTCAGCTCCCATTGCGAAAAATACAATTATAAAATAACAATAATAACAAACATGATTGATACACTAGATCTAGGCGTGTAGATCTATCATCAATTAACATTGAATTAGGTTGTAGTGTAGACAGTGATATTTTCTACATTACAGACATAGTCTTAGATAAACAGATTTGAAAGAAACTCACGTTATATCCTGTGTGATGGCTGAGATATTGCCGTCTACTGCACTGCTTCTCGCACGTATCGTGAGTGGATCTACCCAGTACCCCAGTTCGTTTACAGCAGCCACCCCGGGCTCAGGCGGGTCAGGCCTCATGATCTCCGTTGCTCTAGCTCACTGCACTGTGATACTAGCCCTGCAGGTATCGTGGGGCTCTCGCTAGCCAAATGTCCGGTATTTCGCAGGTCTCGATATGCATGCGCGCGTGTACCTACGCGGGAGCAGCCTTAATGTGCACAGAGAATATGATTGCCATTCTGCCTTGATTAACCTTGGAGAGTCCAGCAACTAATGACCAATAGACGCACTGGAGAAGGAAAAACCAGGGAGACTGAGGTAAAATCTCCCTTGATTATCTTAGGGAGAGTTTGTGGATCAGGTGGTTACCCGATAAAAAATCAGACAAAAAGTGTTTTGTCGCCATCTAGTGTCGTCATTTATTTTCATTCAATCTCCCCAGTCCCACATACCGAAAAATACGTTTGCATAATATCTGTATCTACAGTATATCGGATCGAGCCAATGACCATTGATACATGCGATCAAGTCTCGCAGTGTAGTGCAGCTGATATCTTTGTTCATGCTGTGGAATCCACTCAGCTTTTGACTTTGTAAAGCGTCTGATGTCACGGTCCTACTAGTATCAACGCTAATCAAGATTTTCACTCGTTAAGGTAGGTTTAAAACGAAACAATAAGCAAGGATTCAGTCCGTCTGTACTGTAGTCTGGTTAAATTTTGAGCAAATTTTGATTGAGCATGTTGAGCTAATCCGCTCTCCAGCTCCAGGGCCGGGGTCAAGCTCCTCAACAAAACTTTCACTAGACTTTTACAGAGTTGACACAACAAATTACGTGATGGTTATGATGGTTTGCACATGTTGGACGCCTGCCCAATGAAAAGTCATGCTTTCTTGAGATTTTTCATACAGATTACAGTCTAGAATCTATTCTAGAGTAGACTCTAGAGTATAAAAATAGATCTATGTTTGAAACTTACTTCTAGTTCTAAAAAGTTCTAATATTGTCTAAAAGTTTTCACTTGGCAATACAACTTGACCGAGGTTCATCTATTTTATGATAACAATGATGTCTTGATGAGGATAAGGATGGTGATTATAAAGTCACAACAATTATAATCTGATGTTGAGTGAGTGATGATGATGATGGCGATCTGGTACAATGAAGATGATTGATATTTATCGTGACGATGAAGATTATGTTGTGATGATCATAATGATGATGATATTGATTAACCAGTTCTTGGATCTTGGATTCAATTCCTCCTAAATGCTCCAAAGAAAAACGAAGAGTTTTGACTGTCATTATTGAATCCTCTAATTCCCATATTTATGAGGCTCAATACAAAGATCATCGGCTCAGTTCCAGTAGATCTAGATCTATAGTGGTTATGAATGATGTTGATGATAAAGAATGTTTCATGTTTGGTGCTGGACAGAAAATCTTTCTGCGTTATGGAATTCCCAAAATATTTTGTCTTTTGACGCTCTCCTCTAAGGCATGTAAAGAACTTTACCCTTTACCTTTACCCGAGATTCTGGAAGAATGCTGTGTTCTCAGCAGTCGGGCTTCCAGTTTAATTTCATTTTCTTCCTTCTCGTAGTTGGGTGTCTTCATCTTGGTAAAGACCAGTTTTGGAAACGCCCCACTCTCAAAAAAATGAAATGGAAGCTCTTATTACCAATCATGTGAAAGAATATGTTTTGACTTAAACATGTGATGATACAAATTTTACCGGGAAACCGCCTACTAATTGATATACAGTGTGTATTTGGTAAATTATTATATCTATGCGGACCTGATAGATATCGCGCATGTGTCGCGCACATGTCGCATAGTCCCATATACTGTACATCTTTTTGTGTACAGTGCTTGTAACTTTACCAAGACTGGGCTAAATTTCTTATCATTTTGATGATTCCAGAACCTTGCAGTACGCACCAATACTTACAGCCAAAAAATACTCGGGGGGCTCGGGGCGAAGTAGCCCCGAAATGCCCAAAAGAGCCCCCAAAAGTCATAAAAGAGCCCCCAATTTGCAAAGAGTTCAATGCAGAACAAATTAAAGAGTGTTATTTTCATCCAAGCATGGTTGATAAGTAGCCCCCGAAATTGTATATTTTTTTCCCTGAATACTTATATGGGCCATTCCATGAGAAGAAGGACATGACATCAAAAAAAGAAATGTACCTCTTATGTTAATTCTTTGATTTATCACTAACCTTATGCCATGGATGTTCATAAAACATTAGGGCCTTTCAAATTCAATACAATTTATTTTTCATTTTTGTTGATTTCCTAAGATCTCAAACCATCATCAAAAACGTACATGTGGGACTGTAGATGAAAAAAAACAATTTATTGCAGATTTCACAGGATTCTTGTAATATTTTTTCCTGAAAATTTCGCTAAATGGAAAAAGATGAATATATTTCCATATTCTAAGGGGTCCTGTGATATTTAATCTATTACATAGGGGTGAAAATGGCCTCCGGACAAAATGTAACACGAGTTACCGTAACGTGAGTTACCGACATATTTGCTTCCTGCATTTTACTAGTCCATTGTTTCTTATCTTTAATATTGTGATCTTATACTAGTAAGTCACAACCTACTATCAAATTAAAGTAGGAAAGATTTTGTCAAGATTGTCTACTAGTATGAGGAGAAAAGAGGGTCTCATAGAATTGACCATGTCCTTTTTTTGTAACGCGAGTTACCGAAATTCAATAATCCAAGAATCTAAAAATGTTTGTTCTTCAATATTCTTTTTGTTTCATTCAGTTGTTCTATATCTACCCTGTCCATGTTTGAAAAAAGTATCTTGTAGATCCTAGCAGTTCTAAAGATATAGGCACATTATCATGTCAATGTACCCATTAGGTGTAACGCGAGTTACCATGGAATGGCCCATATGCTAGATGATCAACCTTTCCTGATCGATTCCACAACGTTTCTTTCACAATGCAATGGCATGACCATAACTGGTCTTTATCTTCAAACGGTATGGACCTCATGCCCACAATAGCGCTAGCTAAGGACTACAAACTTTCCACACACATCGTTCACATGTTCAAAACATATAGGAGAGAAATAAATATTATCGTTGAAACACTTGATTTTAAAATATGACACAAACCAATTTTTTCTTTGAGAGTTTTGAATCAATTGATAGAGGGTTTCTTGATTTCTGTTACATACAAACTATAGTAATGCTGCTATGGACCTGGACAGGTTGTGTATCGCTGCTTTTTAAAAATCAGCAGTTTGAAGAAAATTACAAGCAATATTTACAAAAAATTCAAGGCAAAAATGTCGGACAATATCATGATGGAAAAATATTGCAAGGTTAGTTATGAACATGTTCAATATACAAAGCTTGGAAAAAGTTTTAAATCCTTTGGATTCGTTTTTAAAGGCATCGTTTAACAATCAGCGTGTTTCTATTAGTTATACTGAATTTATCAGGTTGAAGAAATAAGCGTATAATGCCAGGTAAGGGCACTTTCTATCTACGCGCATTCCGATCTAGCCAGAAAAATGGACGTGAAAAAGTTCGTTGAATTCTGGTTAATTAGGTCACCACAAAGTATTGTGGGACTGCTAGGTCAACCCGGGATTGTAGTGTCGCGCGCGTCAGGGTAAAATATTCCGATCTCGTGATCACTCCTATTTCCGGTTTCTCCCTGGTATGTGCACTCAATCGGAACGGGGTGTGTTTCTACTTACGTTATCCCGTTAGCTACCCCTGCGTTATCCTTCTAAAAGAAGGATAATTTTGCCGGTGAACGCGTAACAGCTCTCCCCGGCATTATCCGGATAATGCCAGAGAAAGTGTGTTTCTATTAGGAAAAATTTATCCCTTATCGGCCATTAACCGGGTAATGGCTTTAGATAGAAACACGCCAAATGTTAAATCTGAGATGCACGGCCCTACGTGTTAAATCAGTGTCTGTGAAATGATATTGAAGCCCTAAAAAAATTGTGCTTCAAAACGATGAAGAAGTGCCTCAAAAAAGTAAACATCTTTAACTCGTTTTCCCCGATAGACTGTAGTGTTATGAAAACCGTTAGGAAAACACAAAATTCGGTTTGATTTCCAATCATAAATATCTTGATAATCAGACAGGCGATCGGCTTGTAAAGGTCATGGAGTTCCTGACTGACCTAAAGGTTTATAATTATCATTGCAGCCTGAGCTAAATCCAGGATTTAGTTTCAGAATCTGAGACAAAGTTACTGAATCCCTTTAAGCATTGAGGTGTCTCAATAAGTGATCTGATGATGTGTCAAACCATATATCAGGCCACTGCTTGAATACTACTCCCTGGTTTGGCATTCCCACTTTTAAACTACACGTACACTGTATAAAGCAATGTGTATGTACATGTACATGTATGCTACCAATTGCTAAGAATATGTCAACAATTCCCACAGTGGTTATCCCCCAGACTTCCATACATAAATGCAAAGACAAGTCTTTTAAGAATTATTATTATTACTAAAATCTCTTTGATTTGATATGAAATGCTAACAAAATTTGAAGACTTGTGTCACCCTTTATAAGAGAGGCTCAAAATGTAGAGAAGACCCTGCCTGAATTAACCTTAGATATGGGAGGTGATTTGATTATTGTTTTCTTCACTGAATGCACATGCGCTGTTTTGTCAAGAGAGCTAATCGCCTTGTGAAAAGTTTGTGAAGGCAAAAAGACGCCTAGTTATGCAAATTTATGACTTTTTGATTCTATCTGATGTTTTTCCATGTATGTAAACTGCTAATTTGAGATTTGCATAAATGTACTGTAGTGACCTTCTATAATTAATTTCACAACTCTCTAATTATTTGTCTGACTCTGATCTATTTCAAACCTTAGCTTTCAAAAAACAAATATGTTTGTTATTAATATTTTTTTAACAAGTATTTTATTGCCCTTTAAAGTGTTGGAGGGGCAACTACCCTTACATCCTTTAGCTCTCCTATATTTTATTTCACACAGGTACTGTACCTAAGGTAATTTAGCTCTATTTTATCCCTCCGTTCCTTTTCTCCAAAAATCTGCTTCAAGCCTTGCACGCTTATCAAAACATTCCTCATTGAAGAGAAGAAAGAAAAGCACAAAATCCATCCCTTGAATTTGAAAACCGCTAAAGCCCTTGGGTTAGGGGCATTGTGCGTGAGAAGAATACATGAATAAAATGAACCAGCTTCATTGGATATTTTCCCTCCATTTTAGTTATTTTCTTTTCCTTCCAGAATAAAGCTCCCTTCTAGGGATTTCACCTTCTACAAAAGTAAGTTCACGTATTAGGCAGGCAGGGAGAGAGATTGCAAACAGAAAATAGAAAATTGTGAAAGGT